ACTATATAACCAACAAACTAACAAATATATCTATTGATAAAAAAATTGGTATGACAATACAATAGTCTCCTAGTCATTGTTCACTTCCCCGCCYAACTAAGGGGAAAGGCCCTRGGAACTAYGCTGGAAGGGTCTGTAATCGTRCTTTTGAWCACAAGGTCTATAGYTATTCTGGTTTTTTAGTAGGTTTTCTCTTGTATCGTGAAAATCGCCATTGCTGTGTTTTTGAGTCATCGCATGGGTTTATAATTACTTGAGCACGATCTTGTGATATATCCAAACAGCTTTCTGTCCACACATGAATTATGGTTCCCTGATAACAAACACAACTATGAATTAACCTTAGGAACTTTATTGCAAGTACTCACTGTCAATAAAAAATGAATATGTATTGGATTTTTCACATGACGTGGCGCCTGTGACACAAGTTCATACTAGAATTATATTATCGGGCCATTGCTGTTTTATTTTTTGTGAAGTTTTGGTGTCCATGTTAGATTTCTTCTATTGTTCATTAATCATTAACATCGTTTCCACGGTTTGTCTGCTCGCCAAAAGGCGCTGGGAACGAGGTTGATTGTTCACATAAGCAACATGGCCGCCGGGTTTTTGGTCTTTTTCAAAGGGAATGGTTGAATATATCAGCAAATAGTTTCTTTAACCTGAGTATTAGGCTCTTTGGTTGAAAAAACGGAGGCCTCCTCGGAGGCCTGGGTTTCCTGTGTGTTCTCATACAACCTCTGGAATGAGTCACATCAGCCTCGACTGGGGGCTCGTTCCAGGTCACTTCTGAGAATATGAATGCATACCTTTTTCTTGTCATGRTTCCATTCTTGATTTCCTCGTAGACCGTGACACGAGATCATTTCCACTTTACTACCAGGTTCGCCATGCGCTGCATCGAGACATTTGTCATCTTCAAAAACGATTTCGTCACTTTTTGTCAACGTAAAAAACTACATAACAAAGAAAACAAGTATTCCCAGTTAATCATTAGTAATATATTATGCTYGCGACTGTGTCACGCAACTCACCTGGTTACCGCCCATCCCGTGACATGTATATAAACCAACGAATTCGATTTTCGACTTTTCTCCAAGAGTATCGACACACATGTTGCTGTAGAGATTTCGGATCTAAAAAAAACAACATCCGAACGCATTACTATCGCATAGTTCCGTAAAATTAAATTCTCGTGATAAGTCTCCGTTTATTAAAAAGTGCATGGGTTACGTAGTTCATCTGAATTATTTTAACAGCCGCGCTTGAGGACAGGGACACAATCGGCCGTTTTCTTTTTCATAGAGAACATTTTTCAGGCATTTTTCCTGTGCACGATTATCAAATACTCGCAATAGACATCAGCCAATAAGAGTGCGTGTTTTATGCATCTAGGGTATAAAGTRCCCCGCGGCCATCCACCCAACCCGTTGACTTACCTCTCCTTGTGCAGGGGGATTAGGYTCTACACTAGACATGTCAGGGAAGATGTTCTCTAGATACCACTTAAAGCTTTTGCATTTTAGTTTCTTTCTGAGTTCAACTCTTTCACTGATGTCACCGATGTCAACATTTCTCTCTTCTTCTGATTTCTTTCTGTAAAAAAAGTGATGAAATGAGGTGCTATAACAAGGGAATATTAGCCAAGACAACATATTCCTCATACTGGCCCACATAATGAGACTCGCTTATTCTATTTTTAAATTTTGAGTTATTTTGGGAACGGAACACGTTTGACCAGATCGTAGGAGCTTTGATTCTGGATTTCTTTCCACAGCTCAAAACATTTCGCATGCAGTTTTCCTCGTGCGTCCAAAACAAAAGACAAAAAAAAGGTTTTTGCGACTACTCGGCCATTATCCTAAAAACAAGTGCTCGCTGCGCAAGGATTGGTAAAGATAGTTTGTTTCTAAAATAGCACGAGTAGGGCTCCTGATGAGGACCAAGGATGAGTTCTATTATCTCATTCTCTCTTGATTATTAGCAATGTCTTTTATGATAATCAACTGTTTGTAAATGAGAAACACTATAATCTCAGACTACTATCTATTTCACATGTTTTGATACTCCTGTCTAGCCTTTGCTGTTATCTAAAAGATCAAACTTGTAGACGCAAACCTGTAGTATAAATCTTTGTATTCATCCATCCAAACCTCTGCCAGTCGGTTGAAGTTCTTTGCCAGCGTTGRTGACGTTCCTTTAGGGAACTGGTAAGGAGATGTATACTTGCGAAACACGTGACCAACTCGAGAACATGGGATAATTTCAATCTGACCTCCGCACATCCATATCTAGACGGACAATAAAGCGTTYTTGGTATGRAATCAGAGCTTTSCTGATMTACYTTTATTTGATTGTCATCTTGATCTTGTTATATTTGTAATTTTGTAATATTGGCTGATTGACGAGGGGCGAACAGACTGACTGACTGACTGACGCGGGACGGACGTACTGATTCATACAGATAGTTCGCGGAGCAGATAGTACACTCACCCTGAACGACATTTCAAGATTTTCACCTCCCCAAATTTCCATCTGATCATCATAAGTACCCATGTCGTAYAAATACTGACGATGAATCGAGAACAATCCACCGGCCATTGTTGGAGATCTGTTKTCATGATATTAAAAAAAACCACCATCATACATTACTGCATATTAAAATCACATCCAATTATCGTTGGCAAAATCTTTGATAAACGAGGAACTAAGCCATGTGGGCGGAGATCATATCATAGCATGCCACACAGGTTATGTACTTCTGAGCATGCGTAATTGGTAAACTACGATCTTGACATGAGCGAGATTCAATGGCTGTCATTGCTCTTTTCTGAGATAGCAGTTTGCATTGTGGTCTAGGTTTAGTACAAACATCTTTTGTTCATGCTGCCAAATATGTCGTTGCTTGTGCTGAAGCTAGACCACAATGCACTATGATTTTGTTTTTCAGAAAAGGTCTATGGACACCTTTCCTACCTTATCGTGTCAGTCTCGTCTTTTCTCCTGTTTCTTTCAAACTCAGGGATGGCTTTCCACGTAAAAAAGAGATCCCAGTTAAAACCACCCCTTTCGTAGATCACATCTGATGCTTTATAGCTGAAATCYTCGGACTCGATCACCTCAATCACAGGACAAACAACGTTCTTTCTGTCGTCGGCYATTCGCGCCAAAAGCGGCTCCAGCCAGCCTGGTGTAGCTTCACAGTGAGAATCAAGGAACGTCAGAACGTCACCCTTGGCTACCGCGGCCCCTTTTAACCGAGCAGGGACTAGTCCTTTTCTGCTGGGCATGCGTATCACTTTGACTTTCTCAAATCTAGAAAGGTGTTCAACTAAAGGCGCTTTTAAGTCYTCTGAAAGAAAGTAATTTATTAGATAACGTTGTCAACTTAATGAATATGCAAAGAAAGTGGACGAACTGAGTAATGCACAGTAAAATGTCGTTGAATGCTTCTTCAATGCTTTGTCAACAGTGACCTACTGACGCATGACCCCTGTTATTCTGTGACATTCTCAAGGAACTGCAACTGTAACAGTTCCTCATGTTTTATAATTGAGAATGGTAGATACCTCGATCGTCCCTCAGCCAGTCAGCCATGCAAGGGCGAATCCAGGGAGGTACAAAGTTGTACTGTAGTGTCCCCCAGCAAGAAAAGTTAACTGTTTTTCATTATTTTCAATCTTGTTTATAACAAATGAACCCATTGAGCCCTCCCTGAAACCATAGTTAATAACTATGCTGAAAGCATAGCCCTTCCTCCAACCCCACACACTCACAAGCGAGAATTCAACTGGATCCGCCCTTGCAATGTTTAACGACAAGTTGCAAGATATTGTTTTCTCTTATTTTCCTGCCTTACAGCTACGGTATGCTTACCATACTGGCTAAAATCATCAACAAGAATGATATCAGCGATAAGATGAGGAGGTGATTCGTTAAGGACACTATGTACAGTACGCAGAAGGACACTTAACGCTTCGTTATGGAAACAAATAATTACACTTGTCGTTGGAAGTTTTTTGGGGTAGGAACTGTGCTTCTTTACACATCTGAAACAGAAATGTTGGTTTTATATATCAATATCTTAAGCTAAACAACAGAAAACAGACCAGAGCATAACGTAGGAGTATAACGAACGCGGGGCGGTTCATTGTCGGGTAATGGAACTATAACGGCTATATCATTAAACATGTTCAGGGCAAAGATTTTAAATAGGGTATAGGGATTCAGATAACACGAGGAAGTGCCGTCGGTATATTGATCGTTTTCACCCATGAAATTCAAAAGATAAAAGACCGGCGGCCATATTTGAGGAACGAACAATAGATACTGATGAGAAATCCTTTATCGAAGTTCCTCCAAGATGGCCACTGTGACGCGCCACTGGATTGCTACACCCCACAGCTGTCAAGCAACGTTAATGAACTGTTAATGAATTGTATTGTGGATAGAACCGCTACGGTAGGCGCAGGTCTATGATACGCTAATACCGTTTTATATATGGACAGCTCAYTAAATGWSACTCCGGCTTCCCAAATAAATTATTTGTATGAATGACCTCTGTTATTCACACACGGCAGGGATTCCCCSGCAACACTTCACTCAGTGCCAGTAAAGTTCCTATGCWATGTATTATCCTTYCTRTGTTGGTAACTTACTTTGGTCCTCTGACGTCTTTCAGCTTCCTATCCAATGAGATGCGGTTACTCAACAATACATTAAATGAATGATTATGAAAGACATTTTCTGCGGCTTTTTTCAACTTTTTCGGTAAAGTGSCCGGTTCACCGAGTTCTCCGAGACCAGGTTCAATATCAAATGCCTCATAACGTCCAGTTCTGAAYTCCTTTCTATTATTGATTTTTGGGCGAAACTTAAATGACCTGTGACGATGTTCTGAAGGACCAACATTTGGAACAATGTTTTCTGACTCAAAGAAGCTAAACTGTGTGTTCAAGAAGGTTAAAAAAAGCAAGACGTCAACAGAAATCCAAAATATTGATGTTAGAATGAAAACTTGGATTAAAAGACGATGCTGTCTTGACTGACGCGAGGCAGATGACATTATTTACCGCGTGAAAGTCTGAGTGAGTTGGTAGGCGATTGCCAGAATTAGTTGAACGAGCATSGGCGACACAAATCTTGAACCAATGCGATTGTCATGAAAATATTGCAATTCCTCTATTTCACTCCAACAGCCAAGAATTTAACGATATGTCCATGAAAATAATTAGATATATGGCCAGTATCCTTTCTTTTCAACTAAAGCAGGCGAGAGTGTATCAATTGTTCTTTTGGCCGGTTAAAAAACTATTGTTTTGCAGTCATTTGGCCGGTGACCGAAAACGGGTGGTAKGCAGCAGAGTTTTTGTGAGACATTATTATAATCAGGCATGAGGTTGTTCATTGAATAACAATTTATAAACAAAACAACAAGATCTGTTTCAAAAATYGTACGTCCAGAGTTACTTTAGGTATTACTATTGCTGTGGTCAACACACTCACGTTGTCATCGATAAAGATAGTTTGGTGATTTGCGGGTTTTTTTTAAATTGTCAGACCCTTGTCAGTCTGTTTCCAGAAGAGATGAAGCAGCCATCTTTTYGTAGTGCAGTTTCCATATTCTCTCCAACGCAGCTTTTTTTAAATGATAGTTAATTTGTTTTCTATGTCAGTCGGTGTTTTCAGCAGAGATAATTTATCAACACCCTGAAAATTTGCTAAAAAACTGTCCTAACTAAATTTTACTTTCCAACCCGCTTTAAGAGCAGCCATCCTTCCGGTAGTACAGTCTCCATATTCTCTCCTACGCAGTTTTTTTTAAATGCTTAGACATACTCGGGTTCAAAAACATAACATCGCGCGTCATAGCTAAAACCCAAGGGGAGCTTGGGAAAGCTTGGGAAGGCAAAACAGTGTTCCACATCCGAAGAAATGTCCGACCCAAACAATCAGTCTACTTTTATGAGAAATAATTAAAATACACATATTCAGGAAAATGTGATTTATATAACGTAAATTTGCGCGCTAGTTCCCAAAATCCTTTTCGGTCCGTTCTCATGAGCAATGTCAATTTGCTTTAGCGTGACAACCTTTCATCAAAGGTGTATACATCATGGAGTGAGACCAAAAACGTGTTACGGAACATGTCTTAAGTTTTAATCTATTCAATTAATCAATTAATTTTCCCGGTAATTCTGCTGTTAGATTCATTAGCACTGTAATATGTTTCTGCATATTCATCATATGCTTCTCGTATTTTGATAACTCTGCCTTGTGTACCACGAATAAATACTGTGGCGCTGTGTTTTGTAATACAACACATGTTTGTACAATTGTACCCTGAAACAAGTCGAGTATGCGGAGTTGAACTCGAAGCACGGATAACAGCGATGAGTTTGGACTCCCAACTCGGCTTGTACCCTGGTTTCCAGAGCCAGAGGTTGGAATTTATCCTTTTACGTGAGACGCCGACAGGTGCTTCTAATTTTGAAGCCGTACTTTGTTTTCCTAATTGTTTTGTTTTCTTTCTTTTTTTTAACTCCCTTTAAAGTTGGCAATTTGTTGCTGGCGTTATTTCAAATACTCGTCCTTGTTTTGAAAATTATAGTTGTCAAAAASCTTTGTTGTCATTTGTCGTGGGCTCCCTGTGGCGCAGGTGGAAGACGTCACAGTTCATCAATACATGCATCTCCGCCAAATTTAGTGTTGTTATTTGGCTTCCTCCGGGCGATAAGTCGTTTGAAAAGAGTTAAAGAAAATGGCTGACTCAAGTGGCAAATTAGTCTTGTTTGCTGTTGATGGAAGCTCCCAGTGTGAAAAGGCCTTCGACAGTAAGTCATGTTTTGGATGTTGTTTTGATATTTGGGTCATAGAATGCTCGCAGAATGCCGAAGATGATGAGTATTGGCCTCGGCATGATTCTGTAATCGTTTTATATGAATAGCGCTTCAAAACTTCCTCAATTTCTATCAAAAGAAAATTAATGTGAAAGTCTATTTATTTACCTCGTTATGTGTCGACAGATCGCGAGACCAATTTAATACAAGAGTTATTGATGATCGATAAAAAGATCGATGCAATATAAGTAAACGTCGCTTTATCCAGGGTTTAAGTGTCATTATCTTGCGAAAAGAACACAGTTTTGACTGTTTCTGCTAAAGTCTCTTCGTGATATTTCGAGGAATACCAGAATTTTGAGTTTCCCTGAAAGGGTGTTAGGGGGGTGTTTATAATTTCATTAAAATCCAGGTCACGTGAATTATGTACATTGGAAAAAAAACAGGTCAAAGTATAAAAAATGTAAGGTTTAATTTYGCATTAATTTTTGACTAGCGGAATATTCAAATATTTATGAATAATTCCAAACTGAATTTTTATCAATTTTTCATTTTATTATTATTTTTTCATATTTCAATATTCAAGCTTAAAAATTAACCAAAATGCTGGTGCTGCATTGAAACTACCAGACTTCAAACAGTTTGTACATTCATATGATTATTGATTAGTAACTTTGAAAATTATGCAGGTCTAGTCCTGTCAGATCACGTTTTTGCACAATAAATTGTATGTGCAATATGAATAATTAAATTGTGTTTTTTTCAGTCTACTTGAAGACCATCCATCAAAAAGGACATACAGTTGGTTTACTTCATGTTCATGATATCACTAATGTCATCGTTAGAATACCCTGTAAGTAGGTTATAGCTGATAAATGATGTCCTTTTTTGCTAGTGGGAATGCAGTTCTACCCGGGAAAAAAATGACCATGAGAATTTAGAACTTGTTTGAATTTTGTTCACAGTAGGAGCAGATCTTCCAGCGGAGGCAATAGAAAAGATCATCCAGGAGAGCTGGGATAAAGTAGATGATATCATTGATAAATTCAGAAAAAAATGTGATCAGCATGGCGTAAGTATAGGAGATTTTTTAAAAAACATTTAAACTAGTTGTGCTACTTGAATTCTCACTTGTTTTATTATATGTTTTAAAGGTGAAATATCTTGTGTTTTTGGAACAATCTGGAAAACCAGGAGAAGCCATCTGCAAAGTTGCCAAGGAGAAGAATGCAGTCCTCATTGTTGTGGGATCAAGAGGACTGGGCACTATTCGTAGGACACTTCTTGGTAGTGTCAGTACCTACATAGTTCATCATGCCGACATTGCAGTTACTGTAATACCCATGCCAAATTAAACTTGTAAGAATGAAATGTAATGGAACTGAAAATGATATTGACCTCTTTCCAGTGGCGTCAAAACAAAGGATGGAAAGCTCTATTGGGAACTATCTMTTGTTTTGTCTGCCAGATATAGCCACWTCCCATGAACAGTAAAGAAATCGCTAGAAGGGGTGTATACCAAGGCACCTTATACAATGCACATACATGTTCAGTAATAAATCATATATGCAGTCSATCTTGAAAAGGTTGTAWCCCCAATAATTTCCAATYTTCCAATTGCCATGTAACTTATGAAAATATTCCATTTCCYTTCGTTTAAAATGGTATAGAATGCCTGGTGTGTTTTAGTGGAGAAATGAGAAGACATTTTTCAAARTCTATATGGACATAGTGCAGAAACTGAATATATATCAAGATACGTCATAATTGGATCATTGGAATTGTCTTTTTAGGTGGTCAACCTTTTCAAGATGGGCTGTACAATTCTTTAATATGATTGCATTTATAATTAGAATGAAATTATTATTACATAGTTATATACAGATTCTATCTTTGATTAGAATAATATTTAAAAATACATTTCTTTGATATTTCGACATTAACTTCTTTTATAATATTATAATTCATTCAATTGATGAAAAAATTATATAGTTACAATGTCTTTTAGATTTTTCTTTACAATTAATAATTTCATAGCATGTACAATTCATATTCCATGGAGGTAACCTATAATAACTGATATAAGACACATAAAATGGATAAGATGAGCAATAAGTTMATTATTTGATTGATGGACAAAATCAACTCTTCAAAGACTTCACTGCTATAGTCAAAAGTGACTGAGGTAGAACTGACAGTTTTCAGAAACTGGAATTATTAATCCTTTTAATTTATAACCAAATTTTGTCTAATTATTTATAAAGTTAATTGGAATGATAAGCTGCAGGAGTTCCTGTTTTGTCYCACTTTTTGCAACTTACTCATCTATTTTATGCCATAATGATGCAACTAAATTATTTCACCTTTTGAAAACAAGAATTATATAGAATTCATGGACACAAAGAAGCACTATTTTAACTTAATTTAAACACAAGCAAGCTGTATAACAGTAAAGCACTTTAAGTATAATAGAATAGAACAATAATAGAAAAAACTGTGAAGTATTTATAAATAACCTGAATACTAGCATTCAATAGCACTTGAAATAAAGTAATTAAACATTTGTRTGTGTTATTATGCTGGAAGAAATCACAATTTAAGATTTTCATAAATACAGTTCTTTACTTTTTGAATTAACTTTGTTCTTAGAGTGTGCTGAATGCCATCTCAAATGAATTCCCTTTTCTGTTTTTTCGAATCTTACTCCCGTGTTTTCATAACGGCTTTGTTTCCTTCCTGGAAAATGATGACCCTTAGACCAAATAGAAATCACGCTATTGCATTTTCCATAAAACAGAATGATAAAACTACCAGTAAATCCTCCATTGRTATGAATTTCTTGCATGGATCTTTCTAAATATTTCCGAAAATTTGTTGTCTGGGAAWAGTTGTTCCAGGATGCCTTCKAGTAGGACGTACAATATACGTTTGTTGAATGAAGCATATTGGAAAGTGTCAAAAACTCGACAAACACCATCCATTGTAACATCATTTCCAAGAAATCTGCTCAAGTCCTCTGAAATATAAGTTAAGTAAATTAATATATGACAGAAAAAAATACCAGAAAATGCCAAAATTGTGCCAAAACTTTCTCGTGTAACATTCGTTTGTCGACTTTTTGATTTTAACATCTAATTCTCATTTATTTGTTTCATTTCGCAATTTCTTATAAAACAACATGGTTTTGATTTATTTGAATCTTTAGATTTTTCTACTGTAGTTTGRCTAACCTGGTATTGATCCAAACATCTTGGTTCGCCCAGCAACACGKGTTCTCATTTTAACATCCAGTTTCCTCTCAGTTCGTGGCCCTGCTAAGACACCGCCTGGCCAAAACGAATCCCTATATGCAAGCAAACGTAAAAGGGAGAAGTGCTTTCTTTGTCTGTGCCAAACCACGGGAAACNGGACGCTACGCGCCTGGTAGACTACGTAGTCAAAGTCTAATAGATGCGCTTAAAGATTACGGCACGAAACGTAGGTGGCCTGCATGTTACTCGGTGCTTTAATTTACATTGTGCATCTATGGAACTTTGTCTCGTACAATCGTTAATCTAGAGTGTGTGCCTTTACAACTGAGAGACTAGTCGTTGGGATATGACGACAATACTGCAAGTTTCTAAAAAGGAGAGTGTGACTTCGTGCAGAAAGATGGTGAGAAACGGATGGTGAGAAACGGATGTACACAGGCTACGAAACAACGAAAATTGGAAAACAACAACTGCACGCGACACTGTGTAATTCTAATTTCCAACAACTCCGTTCTTTAAGTGCTGAGAAAATTTCACAGGCTAATAAAAAGCTTGCTCTGTTTGGAAAGCCTTTTCCGATATTAATAAAAATGATATGTACCTGAACATTTTTACATATTCTGCTATTTGCTCTGCTGAAGTCATGTAATTCACGCTCTCAACGATTTTCCTGAAAAAAAGAAACACAAACCATGTAAAAATTAACTTTATTATATGACCCGTATTTCGGCCCTACGCGCGCTCTTAAAAAACCTTTGGGAAATGGTCACGTGATGGGGCACGTACGCCTTTTTGCGACAGGGCCGAACAAACCCGTATTTTCCCGGCTTGAAGTTCCGCGCGCTTTTATTTATTTTTTTTACATTAAAAAACGCTGTCATATGATAAAATGCTTATTGACTGAGTTAGGTCGGACCGTACGGGAAAATATTTGGGTCTCGGTCATATACGGCCCTCCCACTCAGTCAATAAGTACATAGAAATACATCTATTTTCTTTTGATCCATGTGATAATAGTGCCCCTTACCTGTTAATTCTATCACCATAAGTCGTTTTGATAATCTGTCTCAATACTACAATAATACGACGACGAAGCCATAAATTTCTGTGAAAAAAGGCAAAAAAGAATCAATAGTGGAAAAATAACACATTCGGCAAACAAAGATTGAGTTTTCAAAGAAGTTTAATAAGACTTTTGAATACGCGGGGATTACCTGTCTTGGAGATCAAATATCTCGTCCATTAATAGTAACAGCACTCTTAGGGCAATATTGTCATCATCCTAAATAGAAGATACATTATTATTAGATCAATAAAGTTTCGAGACAACCCCTGACTGTTACATATACATTGTGCAAGTCTGCAGTAATTGTTCGTCAATGCCATAGTTAATGGACAGAGGAGACTCTCTCGTCAATGCTAAAACAACGCTAAAATCAAACAGTGTTACGAAAAACTCGAAAGTTTCTTTGCACAAGCCAAAACAAATAATTCCAGTAAATCTCACCTCAAAGTCAACGTCTGCATAAACTTGTTTTGAGTCATCTTTGACTTCTCGATCAACACCAGGCTGGAAAAGAGACATACCATCAGCACTAGTGAACACTTGCAAGCAATGCAATTGCAGATGAATAAGTTATGAGAATGAACATTGATAACAAGATGAATTTCTCMAGGAATTCGTTAGATTAAATGACAGAAAAACTCACAGATAAAAATCCTCGCACTAAGAAAAAAACACACCATAAAATCTTCTTAGCATAAAATGTAGGAACTTTAGAGTTGTTATTCATCTAAGAAAAGTTAAACTCAATTTTTCCATTTTGACAACTGCGTTTTCGGGCTTTGTTTTTCAGAACATTCAGTTTCCACGGGCAACTATCACACCATAATGCCCTCGATTCAACTACTCTAGTTTAAATAGAACCTTTAAAACTTCATAGTTTTTCTCTCAGTAAAATAATTTAATGTTTAGTTCTGGCTTAGTGTAGATGTGTGCCTTTTTCTAATAGTCACAAATACCAAAAGTTGACAATACCTTGAATATTTTATTTACACCCTCAGACAAGCCCAGTGGTACAGTCTTGATAGCATGCGATACATTATGGACAGAATGACGAAAGTTATGCACCTGAAAATAAWAKAWTAAYA